CACCACCACCACCATCACCACCATCACCATCACCACCACCATCACCACCACCACCTCACCACCATCACCACCATCATCACCACCATCACCATCACCACCACCATCACCACCATCACCACCATCATCACACAGTGATGCTGACTGGTAGAGATGGTCATGTAACCTTGCCTGCTGAAGTGAGCCATTTAGGCCTGGCCCACACTTCTGGTGTCACCCCTCGGCCCTCTGGGCCCTCCTACTGCCCTTTCACCAGATCCCTCTGAAAGCACCATCTGGGGAAGCAACCTGGCACTTCAGAGCCCCTGACTGTGATCTGTGCTGATGCCCAGCTTCAGGGTCCCCTCACCGTCAGTGGGATTGGCAAACTCCTTGGGCACAGCTGCCCCATCATCCAGCTCAACGGCCTCTAGGCCTGTGCGGACCCCTTCGATCTGGACCTCATGTTCTCCCGAAGCTGTGTCGTCCTCTGACCTCGCACTCTCGCCTGTGCGACGGAATTTCACCACCCTAGGGGACAGAGCAAATTTGGTCATGATGGCTTGAATTCCCCTTCAGTGGCCTTGCTGCACAGCTCTTGTGCCCAAGACAGGTGGAAGCCTTTCTCATAGTCCATAGAGCTGAATGGGTGGGGGAGTTGGCATTCCTGGTGAGCTGAACTATGGGGATGTGGGTGACAACTTCAAGAATCACCTATCAGGGCCATCCATCAGTTGTATAGGTTGGGCACTACACACAACTCCATGAGGACCCTATTCATATGGCAGGCTATGTGAATGAGTGTATCTTTGTTCTAGACCTGAATACTGTTTGTAAACACGTTTCGGAATTTAGATGCATCTCTCTGTATCTAACAGAGGTAATTTGTTTATCTAAGGGTTATATTATGCTCACAAAAAGCTGTCTACACAATATATATTTTTTAAAAGTTAAGGTGGATGCCAACATTTTTTAATTGAGAGAATTTACTTGAAAAGTCAGATTCCTGACATCTCAGTAGAAAGTAGAGTATTTGGCTACCCGGGGCCCACATTCCTGAACAGTGTGTCTGGATCTGGGCAGTGTGCCCCTGTGAATGGGACACACTCCACATTGATCACAGTTTCTTTGTCTCCAAATCCTGCCCTGGGGGTCCTTTGCCACATATCCTGGCACTTGCTCTGCGTTCCTCTCATTTGGCACTTTCCCCATTTGTCTGGCTCTACGGGCATTTGAATTTGAGACCCCAGAGACTCCGTTTCATGCAATGCAGTCCCTTACACTGTGCTGTTTCTTGTTACTCTGGGAAAGCCTTGGTTTCTCTGAGAAGCAATTTATCTGAGACTTAAAGACAAAATTATCTGTCTCCTTCCAACTTCCTCTCTCCCAAACACAGAGCTCCTGCTATCTGCCAGCCCTGCAGTGGGTTCTGACATCACATCAGTGACAAGACAGGTATGTCCCTGCTCTCGCAGGAGAGAGCAATATGGAAAGAGTAATGTCCGTTTCTATCAGGGCTTTGAAAAGAGAACCTGGGATGTCATGGACATGAATGGCAGAGGGCTACGTGCGCAACTGGAGGGCAAATCTGGGCAATACTTTAAAAAGGCAAGAAAGGAGACATATCTAAATAAAATATACCTCCATTATTATTAGGAATAATTCATTGTTGCATTATTCCATGTATTTCACCAAAGAATAACTAGTGCTCTGGCATAGAAAGGGTAAACCTTCAAACTTCATAAGCGTGGGGCATATGTCCTGCTTGTGAAGTTGGAGAAGAGACTGATGAAATCACAGCAGTATTATAAATACCTGAAACACCACTCGTTGCCAAGACTGGGCTTGGAAAGCCTGAGCTGTCAAGCTCATCTTGGGCTAGAAATGTGGGGCTGAGCACAGATCACAGGGTTTGCAGGCAGACCAGCTGGGATTGAAGCCTGGAGCTAACACTCCATCCCACTTACCAGCACCACCACCACCACCACCAGCTAGTGGCACTGAGCTTGTGTGCTGTGCCTCACTCTAGGTGTCGTTTTGCCTGCCCTTGATCTGCACACCTGCTCTGTGAGGTTGGTATTATTGTCACCATTTTACAGACAAAAAAACCTGAGGCCCCACTCGTCACATGACTTGGCACAGCCACACAGGGATCAAAACCCTACCCAAAGGCAGGATACTACCACTCCAAGCCCTTCCATTGCTCCCTGTTTATTCCAACATTTTTTATAAAGATATTTTATTTAGAAATATTTAAAGCATATAAAATTATATACATAACAATGAGAGAAATATCTTTGCTTCTACTGTCCTGCTTAAGGACCAAACACTAGTGTTAGTTCAAACCATATGAAATTGCCAACACTTGACCACAACTGTCTTGAAGGCACTGTGCCTCCTTGCCAACCTCCTTCTTTCACATCTTTGTAGGTGATAACTTTTCCTTGATCAGGGGACTTTACATGTTTTAATCTTATTTGATTTAGTTTGATTTAATCCTCATAATAACCCTGGGAGGTGGTGACTATCATCATCCCCACTGGATAATACATACAGTCGCTCTGAGTCTCAGTTTATCTCATCTATAAATCAGGTGTCATAATTGTGCCATAGGTTACGTTCCCTAGAAGCAGAGCTTATGATAAGATTTTTTTTTCAATTGTGGTAAAATACATATTACATAAAATTTACCATTTCAACTATTTTTAAGTGTACAGTTCTGTGCAACCATCACCACCATCCATCTCCAGAACTTTCTCATTTTCCCCAGCTAAAGCTCTGTAACGATTAAATACTCTCTCTCCCAGCCCTTGGCAACCATCATTCTCCTTTCGGTCTCTATGAAGTTGATTACTTTAAGAACCTCATACAGGTGGAATCATACAGTACTTGACCTTTAGTGACTGACTTATTTCACTCAGCATTATGTCCTCAAGGTTCATTCATATTTTAGCACATGTCAGAATTTCCTGCCTTTTTTAATGCTAAATAATATTCCACTGCATGGCTATACCACAGCTGTTTATCTACTTATCCACTGGTTCTTCCATATTTTGGCTATTGTGAATAATGTTGCAATGAACATGGACATACAAGTAAGTTCCCACTTTCATTTCTTTTGGGTATATACCCAGAAGAGGAATTGCTGGGTCATGTGGTAATCCTATATTTTACTTTTTGAGGCACCTCATATTGTTTTCCATAGTAACTACACCATTTTACATTCCCCTAGGCAATGAACAAGGGCTCTGGTTTTTCTATATCCTTTTCAACACTTATTATTTTCCTTTTTTTTTCATTATAGCCATCTTAAAAGATGTGAAATGGTATGTCATTGCGGTTTGGATTTGCATTTCTCTAATATTGAGCATCTTTTCATGTGTTTACTGGCCATTTGCATATCTTCTTTGGAAAAATGTCTATTGAAGTCCTTTTTAAAATCAAAGAGCTAAACCTATAAAGCTCTTAAATCAGGTTGTTTGTTTGTTGTTGTGATTTGTAGGAGTTCTTTATACATTCTTGATATCAAACCCTTTTCAGATATATGACTTGCAAGGTTTTTTTCCCATTGCATGGGTTGCCTTTGTGCCCTACTAACATGCCCTTTGGTGCACAGAAGTTTTAAATTTTTATATACTACAACCTACCCCAACTTTTTTCACTTTCAACCTGTGCTTTTAGTATCACATATATATCCAAGAAATCATTGCCAAATCCAGTATCATTAATTTTTTCTCCTATATTTTCTTCTAAGAGCTTTATAGGTTTAGCTCTTTGATTTGTTTTGAGTTGATTTTTGTATATGGTGTAAAGAAAGAGTCCAACTTCATTCTTTTGTACAGGGATATCCAGTTTTCCAAGTACCATTTGCTGAAGACTGTCCTGTCCCCACTGAATGGAGTTGGCACCTCTGTCAAAAATCATTTGACCACACATGTAAGGTTCTGTTTCTGGGCTCTCTATTCTATTCTATTAGACTATGTAGTTGTTCCCTAGGCAAGTACCACACTGTTTTCATTGCCATAGCTTTGTACTAAGTTTTGAAATTAGGAAGTGTGAAAGCACCAGTTTTGTTCGTATTTTTCAAGATTGTTTTGGCTTTTCAGTGTCCCTTGAGATTCCACAGGAATTTTAGGATGAATTTTTCTATTTCTGCAAAAATAAGATGGGAATTCTTGTGCAAGTGATTTGTTGAGGAAACACTCTCAAGAGAAACCCATTGTGAAGTAAAGGAAGCAGGTCAAGGCAGGGGAAAAAACTAAGCAATGATATGATTTCTGCTGGAATCTGATCCCATGGGGAGCTCCGCAGTATGAATTATACCACTGAGAGTGTTTTACCCATAAGTCAGTCCTTAGCACACCATCCCAGGGGTGGAGGGCGTAACCTCCCAGGTATCCTCAGGTGAGGTGGCTCTCCTCAACCAAGGGCAATCTGCTAGAGGAGACTCCAGCTGTGAGCTGTGAGCAGCCACCCCTGGCAGCAGCTGGGGGGTGCACCAGCCTGGTGAGGGGCATCTGGACCAATGGTATCTGCTGCCAATAAGCCCTTCCAGAGTTGTTATGCAAACAAATTTTACAGCACTGTACACATATGAGGAATGAATCATTGAATTCCTCTCCCTCAAACTTCTTAGATAATAGCTCTCAAACCATATAGCTATCTATTGAACATTTGCTATTTGCTAAGACCTATGCTATAAGCCTTTTACATTCTCTCCTATTACCCTGACAATCAACCTATGAATCCAGTACCATTATTTTCCCCATTTTACCAATGGGGAAATAAATGCTCAGAGAGCTTAAGGCACTCATCCAAAATCAGCTTGAAGAAGTCGAGGTTTCAGCCCAGTTATCTTTTGTATTAAAGATCTGGGTCCTCATCACTGGGCATCAGTGCCACTCCCCAGAAATCACGTGTCTGGGGGATGAATTCAAGGCCTGAACTGAACTGGCCTGTGTGGGAGACTTTCCCTACAAAGGAAAATGGTGTCTTCTGCAGCAGAAACCAAAAGGCACAGCTCAGTTCCAATCTGACAATTCTTCAGGTCATCACATTTGTGCAGGGGTTCTTGAACTGGATGGAGCTTCAGAACCCCACAGGGCTCATTACAACACTGATGGCTGGGCCCCACGCCCAGAGGGTCTGATTCGGAAGGTCTTGGATGGGGACTGGGATTTTGCATTTCCCAGAGTACCCAGGTGGTGCAGCTGCTGATCCAGGGACTGATTCAGGCATCAGCGTCCGACAAATGGCTCTGCTCTCTCCCCTCCTCCACCCTTCATCATGAAGCAATTATGCAGAGGATCAGCTCCCCAAGAGGCCCAGAACCCCGATGACAGTACTTAGACAAATGTCCTGCCGTCTGGAGCAGGGGTATTCCTTGCAAAGGCCAGGAGACACTGCCTTAGGTCTGGAAATACGGTTAGAAGTTGGGATCTGGGGCTTTGCTTAAGCAGCACTCTCCCAGCAAGAATACGGCTCTGTTAAGAGCACGTGTTTATTTGCGGTCCCTTTGAGGGAATGCTGAT